GTTTAATCTTTGACATAAATCTACTTTCTAGTTAACTAATTTATGTATATGGAAAAATAAAGTACATATTACTACTCTAAGATGTTAATTGCCGAGATGATTGACTATGCATATCTGTAGGATACAGAGACAGCTGCTGGAAACAAACTAAATCTGGATATGTTTGCTGATTCATGGATCAGCGTAATATCATTGTTAATTAAATTAATCATAAGACTTGTCTCTGTTGTTTTTTATGAATGATCCCCTTTTTAGAATATAGATTAAACATTTGAAAGATTTCTTCTATTTACATATCGTCTCAATGAAACCTTAAAAATATAAATAATCTCTTACTTTCTGAAGGAACTTCTAATAAACCTGGTAGAACATCGATCATCGTTCTTAAAATATGAGAAGAAAAAAAAATAATGAAATACAAACTTGCAAATACAATCATTTTTTACCCTGATTCAACAATCGAATTTGATTTTTTCTGTTGTAAATCTTTTGGTGGTCGAATTTGTAATGTATTCGATTCGACTTGATTAGGTTTTTTTATTCCACTCATTGGTAATGTTGACAATGAACTATGTATTGATGGTTTATCACCATTTATTTGTGGTTTTGTTGGAATTATATTTGATGTTTTCACTGATGTTTTATGAACAAATTGTGGATCACAATAACGAAATGTTGAATTTCGTCCAAAACAAACTAATACACCATGTTGAAGAACGAATGGTGTTGATACAAGTTTGCCATTCAACCATATTTCACCACGAGGTGTTAATGTAACAATACCATTTTGATTATGAATTGTGCAATGGTCACGATCAATACCGACACCATCAATCTAAATTCGAATAAAATTTCTTTTTGTTATGTTTATTCAATTAGAAAATATTTACAAAAAAATATTGTTTGCCTATTCCAGCTTTTGCATCACGACCAACATATGTTGTATTCGGATGAATTTTAAATACACGAGGTGTTGTAAGATCAGTACCATCTATGATACAAATTGTTTTTTTTTGCTAAGAAAAAATTAAAATTTTACCATTTTTAACTTCAACAAACATAGACAAATGATCATTTATAGTTCGATCTTGAATTGATGGTGCTGGCATTGTATCTAATGCGGATTCTTGTGCACGAAGACGTTTACGAATTTCAATATACTCTGGTGGACACTTAACAACTTTAAACATAATTGAACCTATTAACGAAAAAGCTTTTTTTTTAGAAAACTTTTGTTGATTGAAGGGCTTTATTTTTGCTAACCTTCATTTTTTTGTGCATGACTTAAACAAATACTTAATGGACATTCTTGATCATGTAAAATAACTTCTTTTATTGTTTTATTATCCATTTGATCACGTGGTGGAATAACAATCTTTAATTGAAAAATGAAAATTTTTTCAAAAAATATAAAAACAAGAAAGTTTACTTGAAGAAGACAATAACTTTGTGGATCTTCATGTTTTAATCCATATTTTTCAAGCATTTCTTTAACAACCCATTCAGCTGTATCTTTTATTGATAAAAGAAATGTTTTATATGGTATCGATGGATTTAATGCATCACCAAATACTTTCATAGTACCACCTTGAAATAGAATTTTAATTCATATGAACTAATAAAATGAAAAATATTTTTTCTACCTCCTTCTTTTGTACTTATTTTAATAAATTTTTGTTTTAAACGATCTTGTTGAATTTTTTTAACCATTTCAGGATTTGATAACGAACGAGTAAATTTATTTGTTTCAGGTACTGATTTATATAATGATTCAACAATAGCTGTTGGTGTTACAGTTGATGATTGAGTATCATTTTCATCAATACCATTTTTCTATATGCGTGACAAATAAGTCAATTCAACAAACGATGAAAAAAGAAAACTTTTTTTTTCTCTCGTTCTCTTTTACAAACTTAATATTTCATTGCATAAAAATTGATTTTATATATACGTATGTACATATATAGCTATGTACATTAAATAAATAAAAAGAAAGAGAAAAAAATTTCTACATGGTTGGACAACTTATTTTATTTCATTCTTTAGACAAGGCGAAATAGAACGGGTTTTTTCAAACAGTACGATTTAAGTTTTTTTCTTTTTCACTTCATTTATATTCGTTGGGCGAGTATTAGAAAGACTCTAAAGAACATATTCGTAGTATTTAGTAATGTATTGTGAATGTGTACATTTGACTCTAATTGCTAATGGATTGATTCATACTCAAGTAGTTATTTTTACAAACATTAAAGACCTGATGAGTGAGCCATTTACATATCCTCTATGGATATAATTTAGTATAAGTATGTTACAGCAGAAATTACATAATAATCAGCATAGTTTTGTATAGACATTTGTGAGTTTCTGTTGGTTCGATTTGTATTCAGTTTGGAGTCTGAATAGAGCAGAATTTACTCTAACCTATTGAAATACAATCTTTTGGCTATGGTCCAATTTTTATATTGTTAATGAAAAGAAGTTAACTATACATCCATCCGGATTCAGATCTAGTGAAGTGTAAGTCTGCAGGTGTATAGTTTCTAGAAACTGCATGATGTAGATATATCTATATTAGATAAATCTGTTAAATATGAAGCTTAGGTTTCTGTTTAAATATTAAAAAAAATTAATTCACAACACCAAAAAGAACGAATATAAGCAATAAGCATACACCAAAAGCAGAGCATTATTATTACCGATATACTCTCGTCGACAGAAAATCCTAATATGGAAAGAAATGTGCGATATTCAAACGCATATTGTTTTTCTATTCAATCAAATTAAAAACAAAATTTTAAACTAACTTTATCTTGTTTTTTCTTTTTCTTTGATTCACGTTTTGATGATCGCCGTTCTTTAAAACTACCACCAATTGGTTTTGATATCTATAAAAATCAAACTTTTATTTCACAAATATATATATCCTTTAATTAATACTAACTTTAGGTAATTTTGCATTTTGTAAAACAAATCGACCTTCTCTTTGATCTTTTCCCCAATACAATTGAACCCATAATGGTCTTTCATCCATTTCTAATTTTCTTCCTTCTGGAAAAGAAAAAAAAACAAACAATATTATTCCTTTCTTAATTTATTCAATTTATGAAACAAACCTCCATTTGGATGAACTTCATAAATACAATAATCTTTTTCATTTGGTAATGTTTTCATATCGGGTCTCAATTTTTCCATTAAAACTCGAATAACATCTAATGTTGTAGCTGTACTTGCAACACGTATACATTTTGTTGTTACTTTATCTTCGGCATCTTGAAAATAAAATCTCATAACACCATAAAAATCGAGAACTTCATTAGGTTCACTAATTTTAAATAAATCAAGTCGAGTTGAGTTCCATTCATTAATAAGATTGAGTACTTCAGAACGATCTTTCGGCAATCCGTTCATGGTCATGTCATATCTAGAAATAGAATATTAGTGTAACAAGTATAAGGAAGTAGGAAATAACATTTTTGTCCTTCTCCGATATACAGTCAACTGATAGTAACAGAAAAAGAAAGATCTTTATCAGTTTTTTCTTATTCTATGGACGTAATAAACATGTCTATTGGAAAGTTCAACTGACGAACAATTCTTCTTGTCATGTTGATTTTTTCTCCCCCTTCTCTTTATCGTCCGAATGAACGAACGAAACAATGACCCAGAAAGTGAAATAATTACGAATCAAAATTGAAGAACTAGAGGTCGCTAAAATGCTTCTACTCGGTTGGTTCAATTATGAAATTAATATCCAGTTAAACAGTTATTCTAAATATTAAACGAGTTTATTTTCACATGATGAATATTTGTTTACTTTAAAAACAGGCTCACAGTCATGTAGTCTGCTCTGTGAAATGTTAATCATGCCAATTAGTCTATTGACTGTATTTAAAGTGAACAAATGTCATTAATAATATACAAAAAATTAATTTTAATAAGTTCATTCTATTTGTATATATAAAATGTTCAATATTCTAGGCGACAAATTAGTGAACAGTTTAGAAAGTAGTACCATACAGTTGGTTATTATATTAGTTTTTTTATTTATCTATTTGATATAATATGAATGTCAAGATTATTTTGTAAGCATTTCAATGAACAAATTTTATTCATAAAGATCTTTATAGGAAACAATTATTATTACGAAATTCGTTGAATATATCAAGAACGTTTTCGACATTCCGTAAGCAGTGAATCGAAAATACATTCCTATTCAAAAATATAAGATCAACGTATTTTGGTTGTTTTTCTGACAATGTCAAGCATTTATCCCAAATCGGAATGGTGATTTGAATAACCAATGAAGTTCTCTATTAAATATATTCTATATAGAAATGTTACAGATGGACTATAAAAAGAGGGGTTTATGAACATCGCACTTTTCAGGATAGACAAGAATATGCAAGAATCAGATTTTAAGACTTGTTTGCGCAACGTTCAGGATAAAATGAAGAGTCAATAGGTTTCCTATGACCTACTGTTTAAAGATTATAACAATGACAAAAACATGCTTTTATTTTTTAGCAAGCTTATGATAGATTTCGCTTTTTCCTTATTTTTTTTTGGTGATGGATGAAATTTTTGAATGGAAGGTCGTAGAAAATCCAATGAAAACTCATTTTATTCAGAATTTTTTGCTCTTTAAGATGGTGCCTCATAAAAACTAATTTTCACAACCTCTTCTGATACCTGAGAAGTATCCTGTTTCGTTTTTTTTTACAAAATTTTCATAATCTATCTATAAAGTTTCGGTATGGAATGCCTTTTATAGAGAGCTTCATTGACTATTTAAATCACTATTTGGCTTTGCAGCAAATGCTTAATATCATACAAAAACATTAGAAATACATTGGTCTTGTATTTTTTATCTGTATTGTACATGTATTGCACAATCATTGTGCAATTACATGTTTGATTATTTTTATAATGGTATTTAGTGATGATGACTGTGTCATTCATCAATAATTGTAGGTGTGGTTGAATCGTGTTTAAAACAATTGATGTTGTCATCAAACAAAAAATTTACTGTTAGTAATTTATTTATTAAACTTTTTGAGATTTTATATTGTATTTTATTTACAGATTGCTGTTGAAGGAAATATTGGCTCTGGGTAATTATAGATATTTATCGTCAAAATAGAATAAACATAGAATTCTATATTTAGAAAAAGTACAGTACTTGCTTATCTAAGTAAATCATCATTATGTGATGTAAGAAAATATTTCGTTTTATTTTATCAATTATCCATTTTGATATATTAGATTGTTGCGGAACCAGTTGAAGCTTGGACAAATCTCAATGGAAATAATCTTCTAGTAGGAAAATTCGAGATTAATTAATAATAAATTTTTTGTTTTATTTTGTGTTTTTTAGGCAATGCTTTATAATGATCCACATCGATGGGGTTTTGCATTTCAAGCAAATGCTCAGATGACACTTGCAAGATTACATGCACAACCATCGAAATCACTTATTAAAGTTATGGAACGATCTATTTATAGTACAAGATATTGTTTTGTTGAAAATCTTTATCGAAAGTACAATCTTTATTTTTTTCATGAAATTTTATATTTATTCTTTCTTTTTGACTTCTATAGTAATATTCTTGAAAATGTTGAATATGAAATTTTAAACGATTGGTTTCAAATGCTTACATCGAATGATTCATGTCATCTTGATTTAATTAGTATGTTTGTTCTATTATTTATGATTATTTTGTTGATTTCTTTTCTTTTTAGTTTATCTTCGAGCACAACCAGAAACATGTCTTGAACGGATAAAATCTCGTAATCGACCCGAAGAACAATCTATAACTATTGATTATTTAAAACAATTACATGAACGTCATGAAGAATGGCTTTCACCACAAACTCGAACGTCAACAACACCTGTACTTATTGTTGATGCCAATCAAACAAAAGAACATGTTTATATTGACACAAGTGCATATGTGTCAAATCTAGCTTCTTGTTAAATGTCTTTTTTTATTTCATTTGTTGTTGTTTTTTTTTTTGTTATTATTGTTGTATTAAAAAAAAGTTTACGATTGTTCATCATCAATAGATGATGGTAAATATTCTCGAGGAAATAAGCAAGCTATTCGTACAATTGGTTTAGCATAATTTGAATTATTTTTTATCTAAAATCAAGAAAATAATTATTTAGCATAAGATTGTAATTGAATTACTTGAATTCCAAAACGTATTTTTTCAAGTAAATATGTCCATTTAAGTTTTGTTTTTTGTTCATCAGTCATTAAAATAAATTCATCGACCTTTATTCAAAGAAAAGAAGAAAAGAGAAAATGAATTTTAAAGAATAGAATGGGAAAAGACTGAGGATATGGATGCGGGATTGAAAGACGACTCACATTGACACTGACACTGATCATCTTATGCTGAATAGCATATTGTCTAAATACATATTTGAATGATCCTATCAGAGATGGAACCGGTACCGGTTTGAAATTGATACCGACTTTGAACTAACGACTTGTCCAATTATTGATCTGTGGATACTGATACTTGACTTAGTCAGCCTTCAACAACGTTTCATTACACACCCTCTATGAGAAAATGAGAGCAAAAACAATAAATAAGACACATAGTTAATGACGGGTGTAAAAGTTACTGACTGGTAACTCGTACCGGTTGCATCTATGGATCCTTTTCTTTTTGTATGCTTAATAAATCTTTTTTATCAATGCTATAGATTATTCAATATTTTTTCTTTCTCTGTTTATTCCTTGACATGTAAATTTTTACTTACTGAACATTTGAGCATTTTTCTTGCAATATCATCACCTAATTTAACATTTGTTATTGTACCTGTATGATCAGTTAAATGAACATTTAAACTAAAAACTTCTTTTGTTGAAAGATTTTCATCATTGATTTGTTCTAGTAATTTCATACGACATTCAGCTTCTGTACATTCATTAAAGCCATTATTATCACGAACAGAACGATTACAAAAAATACTAAATTCAATATATTTTATTGGGATATAAAAATGAAAATAAAAGTTCGAGTTTACCATCTTTTTGTAACTACTTGATTTAATGACCCATCAACATCGAAATGAGTTAAAAAACATTGTACAATAAATGTATCAGTACCATTACCATCAGATAAATATTGTTTTAATTCTCGTATAGTTACAACTGTTGCTTGAAGTGCTTGATAAAAGAAAAAGTAAATATTGTAGAGTTTTAAATATAATTTTACCATTAAAACCACCATCTATGGCAACATTGAGTAAATCGTCGATTGGAATTGATCGCATTGATTCATACAGTTGAGCTGATTCATTCGTATCTAATATTGTAATATAGTTTAAACTATTCGATCGAAAATTGTTTATTTTGTCAAAGGAGCGCTAGTAAGATTTATTTTATTTATGTATCCTTAGCTTAAAAATCATTCTAACTATATCAGGAAAAAAGTCATAGTTGAGAAGAGTTTGTTTTCATTGTGATTCTTCTATTTGATATCAGAATATATATATATTAGAGGCTACTCTTCTCTTTTCTTTGTGATTATTTCTGGTTTTCACCGAAAATACGTTCGACTAGACTGGAATTTTTATCAAAACGAAAGCATTTGAAATGAAGCGACAAATGTTTGAGGAAAAGCTTTTAAAGGAGTTTTTTCGATTTTTTCTCGGGATTAAGAAGTGCGTAAAAATTTGGTAGGAAAGCCAGAGTGCTGACTTTCAGAACCCTTTTAAATTTGGATAGGAAGGTCAGAAATGAAAATGATAGATTTAACTTCTGAGGAATATTTTCAAATTTTTGAGTTAAGAATTTCAGCGTGATTGGATGATGGTTAGACTAGTGCCATAATATGATAGAGTACTATCCTTTAGAAAATCAAAGTTTTTCTGAAAAAGAATATATCTCTGTCTGGCCACATGCATCCTTTTCAAAATCCTGAAATTGTTAAAAATAAGACGATGAGTACTCATAAAACAAGATTCTAAAAAAAACACATTTCAGCCGCTGCTCTATTCACTAATAACTTTATGATAAAGATAATTACCTGGATTGATAGTAAATAAACTTTGACGAGTTGCAGTTAGTCCATAAACTTTTCGATATTCATCATAACGAACACGTAAACCAACACAAAAAATAATATGTTCTTCAGGTATCCATCGTTGAGCAAACTATGATATAATCATAAAATTAAAATTAACATTCTTAAAAAGAAAAATATGTAATTACTTTAATTTGCTCACTATCCCAAAACGTTAACCAAACTCCACTAGTTTCTCCATCAAAAAGTAAAATTTCTAAAAGTTGTTTTTCCTCATTATCATAATCAGTTTCACGTTGTCGACGTGTTCGAATCGTTTTCAATGCCCCAATCTGACCAAAAAGAAAACAATAAACAATAAACAAACTAAAATTTTCACTACTTGTTGTACACCAGCTAAAACATTAATTCCATCAAGTTTTTTTACTAATTGTTCACCATGAGTAACGATTTGTGCTAAAGTATAGTAATCATTTCCTGCTCGGCAAGGTACAGAAGCTAAAGATTCATATTGTTTTGCTTTTGGACCTTCGATTTTTTCTACATATGATTTTTCATTTAATGAAAGTTCAATTGATCTAAATATGTCAATTTAGGCTAAATAAACTGAACAAGAAGAATAAAAATATACAGAGGCGTCCATGGTGTATAACTATTTGCTTTATCATCTAATTTAGCTTTTACAACTGGATAATGAATTGTCACTAGACGAACAAAGTTATTTAGTTATTTTTTAAAATTAAATTTAAGTATTCATACCAACATCTCCAATTGTAAATCTACTACTAATAATAATTAAATCTTTTGGTGAAAGCCAATAAGCAACATTAACAAAATCTTTAATTGAATCTCGAAATGTAAAGTTGAGTACACTTCGTTGTTGACGATCATCTTAAATCAATAATACAAGGTGGTAAAAAGAAAAAACAATAATTGCATACTTCCTTCAAATGTTCGCACTTCAACTTTACCAATAACAATACCATATATAATCTTACAAAAAAACAAAAGACATCATATTTCGATTGAATAATGAAAATAAAACTTACACCATCAACTAAACCTGGATTATTAGATGATAATAAATTTAACTTAACAACTCTTTGAATTGTTCCCATCGATTGATAAGATTTTTCATGATCCTATTTTATCATAAATATCATTATGAAAATGAATAAAACAATCAAATTCAACATACCATAGTAATTAACCGTTTTTCGAATGAACATATACAGAAAACGTTCAATGAAGACGAGAGAAAAAAATACTTTTTTTTTGAATAGTCAGATTTAACGATTTATTTCGAGGTACAATTATACGATTGGTCGATAATTACATATGTGGTTTAATTTCAATTTAACCATAGAGAATGTCCGAAAAAAACGATATACAAATAAATTTCTATATCATCAATATGTTACAGTCAAATGAGCTAATGTTGAGGAATGGCCCGATCAGAGGAAAAGAGGTGTGACATCCTTCTGAATCAAAAAAAAAATTTGTTTTTTCCAACGAGATCAAAAATTTTGTGTACATTTTCTTAGAAAACAAATCGTGACATATATCTCCCAATGTTGACTGCTTCGGGTCAACCCTCCAAATAGTTTTTATATCTATAGAAAAATGAATGAAAATTTGAACTTGATAAAGTTTAGTAATGAGTTAAAACTAGTCATTTCCTATGAACAAAGATTTTAATTGATGATACATAAAATATTCTTAAATTGACTGTGTTAATATGTTTCTTCGTAGAAGGAGAGTTCATTTAGGGTATTCCTCCCCTTTTCGCAGTTCTTGAGAATGGCTCATCAGAAAATTTTGAAATTTTCAGGATACGTAGATCTTGATATGAGTACAACAACAGTTGTTATACACTCAAAACTCCTGGATACTGTCTTCTATGAGATAATAAGGTCGCATTGGTGAAAAATGACCTCCAGTTTTCACCCGTATTTCTCCAAGACTCTATTTTCGATTGAGTTGAAAATCTTTAAACAAGTACTAGACGCTATATGCAGTGATCATCTTTGTATTCTTTGTCCTTCAAATAAGAAAACTGAAATATCAAGGGTACTCTTAAAAACATATGTTCTTTTGAACAGAATTGTTCTGTAAGAGCTACCCAAAATCTGTAGAACAAAAAACAATCGTCCTCCCAAACAGTGTATAGTATATATGAGGAAAGGGAGATGCTTTTGCTGTCTTCTTCTCGGAGTTTTTAGCCTTTAAGAACAACATCTGAATGCCGAAATGTACTCAATAGATAGATATTACTTCAGATTATATGACGGTCACAAAAACACAAAAACTTTGGCTCATGAAAATGAGAATATCCTTAATGATTGTTATTACGAAATATTAACAATATATAAGTCAATAACTTTTTGAGAGCAATACTTCACAGGTAAAGATTTTTTTGATTCATTAATATAAAATTAAACTGAGTTGTTAAAACGTTGTATACATTACAAAATTATCTTGATGCAGAGATATTTTGAATCTAAATCATATTCAGTAAAAAAAAACAGAAGAACTATAAAAATAATGTTTCGTATAGCAAATTTTGAAGCTAATATATTAAAGGTCTCTGTTTATTAATCATCTTTCGTGAAAAAATAATGACAAAAAAAAAAGAAAAGAGAAATGAAAATCACTACATACTATATCTATACATAATACAGTTGTTCAAATAAAAAAAAGAAATGAAAAAAAGAAGAACTTCACTGAAATATAAACTTAGATCGTCGTCATCTGTAATTCGGTTTTTATCAAGATTTCACTGATTTCTTTATTTTTTCAAAACATTAATAAAGAATGTTAAAAATTTTGACGCCTTGAAAAAAAAAACTCCTAATAATATTTTTCTTTTACGTAACTATTCTCATATCTTGTCTTTGTCGTATTCGACGACGTTCCATAACTTGTTTACCAAATCGTT